TAAACACAATATTTTTTACATAAATTTGGTTTTGTGAATTTATCACACAAACCATCAAAACCCTGTCATCAAGATAAATTAAGGTGGCCCACAGAATTTTGCTAATCCTTTGCTATTCCATAAATGCAAGCACAGATACAAACACAGCATCCAAACAACAGCGCCAGACCTAACAGAATGTATCCCATTGTGGTGGTCCAGAATGCAAACTGGTAGAGGGTCTTATTGCAGTAGGCATCTCCAGCCACGGTTTGGTTGTAGTTAGGAGGATAAATAGAGTAAACCCACACACTGCCTATAAATAAAAAATAAATAAATGAAACATTTATTTCCGAAATAGAAATTATTTCAGATTATCATTTGAAGTTGGCATCACTGATTCTGTTACTTCCCTGTTTAAAGGGACAGTTCTCCCAAAAATGAAAATTCTGTCATTAATTACTCACCCTCAAGTCGTTCCAAACCTGTAAGACCTTCGTTCATCTTGGGAACACAAATTACGATATTTTTGAAGAAATTTGAGTTTTCTGACCCTGCATATACAACAATGCAACTGAACGCTGGTTCCTGTGTCAGCAGCACCACAAGAATGCATTGTGGTACTCTCATGAACGCACGTCAAAGACTGACACGGAAGAGAACAAATAGTTGAATAAGCTCATTATTTTTGTTTGCTTTGCATACAAAAAGTATTCTCATAGCTTTCTAAAATTATGGTTGAACCACTAATGTCACAGACTATTTTAACAATGTCCTTACTATGTGTCAGTTGTGTTGTTGTCTATACAGGGTCAGAAAGCTCTCGGATTTCATAAAAAATATCTTAATTTGTGTTCAGAAGATGAACGAAGGTCTTACGGGTTTGGAACGACATGAGGGTGAGTAATTAATGACAGAATTCTCATTTTTGGGTGAACTATGCCTTTAATACTGTGAAGCTGCTTTGAAATATCTCTAATGTATAAAGTGCTAAATTAATAAAAGTGTCTTGACTTGATTACTTTAAAAACATGCATTCACATTTAATTTGTATTTACTTTGCGTTTAATTAAAAGTGAAGTTAATTTGTATTAATTGTTAAAGTCTGCTGTTCAAAAATTAAAGTTCATGAAACAAATAGCATAAAGTAAATGGCATATTGTTAAATGTTTCAAATGAACAAAACTAAACCCCCCCCAATTCAAATTCTAAAA